TCTTTCTCTCTCTCTCTCTCTCTCTCTCTCTCTCTCTCTCTCTCTCATCTTTTTCCTGTTTGATGCCAGGGATCGAACTCGGGCTCTAGCGCTATCGAACCACCGAGCCAAATCCCTGGCCTGGGTAGCTGTATTTAAGAGACTGATTATTTTGGTTTGCTGGTGTTTTGTGTTAGAGGAAAGCGGAAAATGTCTTCTCCAAAAATGCACCCTAGGATATTTAGGATTGAGGTTCCTCCTTGGGAACTTGCCTGAGGGATCTGTCCTTTATGCCTGGCTCCAGGTGAGCACCACCCCTCCCTGGGTGGGTCACCTGGAAAGGGTGTATTCACGGACTCTGGGTTTTCAGTAAAGGCACCAATAGGTTGTGTGAACTCACTGGAAGGCAGCCTTCCAAGAGAGCAAGCCCAGCTGGCCCACTGAACGGCGAGCCCCAGAACATCCCTGCAGAAGGAGACAGTGCAGTTGCTGGCTAAGGGGTGACTCTCCTGCTGCTATGCGTGTAGGCCTTGGGCATCTGTCCTCACACCGCTGCACAAGCTCATCCAACAAGACTGGCCACGCTTCCTCTCCATTGTAGTCGCTGAGGTCAAGATGCATTGTTCTGCTGAATGCAAGCACATTGCAGGCACTGCTGGTCTTTGTTAATCACTTATGTTTTGACTGATGCCGTAGCGTGCACCCAGGTGCACTCCAGGAAAATGCATAGTTGCTGACTGACGGCAGTTATGGTACCATTGTTCTTCTAAGAGTCGGTGAGAAACTGGAAAAAGGAGCCAGATTTTTCCCACTCACAGTCCCAACATGTACTGGGCAGAGTTTTATGTCGGGGATGCTCTGTACCTTTTCCTGTGCAACGTCAAATGAGTATCTATAAATAAGCTTAAAAGTTTGCCAGGGGTTTTTAGCTCAGTGGTTCCGTCGCCTGCCACACAAGCGCAAGGACCCGAGTTTGATCCCCGGAACCAAAAAAAAAAAAAAAAGCTTTGCAATTTAATAACGATCACAAGCGATCATCCAAAGAATTTCTGCCTCATTCTGTCGCGTCACATTGTGAAGAAGTCACTCCCGTTAACCATTCTTGTACAGTGAAATAACCCGTGTCTTGTGCATCCAACTTCCAGGCTAGGACAAGCATAGTTGTGTTTTCAGGTTCTACTCCGATGTCTCCGCAAAATTTCCCCATTGCTTCAGGACCCACAGTGTCCCGAGTCCTAGTCACAGAACCAGCCTAAGCGCTGCTTACTTGAGGAGGCTTCCTCCGCAGTCTTCCTTGTAGTTGGATTGTATTTTCCGTACACGCCGTCCTGTCTCCTCTTCTTGGCAGATCAATCATCCCCGAGAGAGGGCTTCTCTTTTCCCTCAGGGCATCACTTTATGAAGCAGACCAAAAACTGCAAGACCCGCAGCTTCCTGTTCGATGATGGTCTTGGCCGATGTCTTCCGTTGGATTTAGGTCATTAAAGGTGGAGTAGATCTTACGAGTATTTGCCAGTGTCGAGAGATGAGAGTTCAGCTGAGTTGGCAGCTGCTGCAGCCACACTCTCACCGCCCTGGCTCCTGCTCTTGCCTCTAGGTCCCCCGCACGGGCCCACCGCGCCCCTGCTGGAAGCCGAAGAGCCTCCGCCAACTCCTGGGGAGCCCCTTGGGTTAATGGAGTGGACGAGGGGAGGGAGTTTGTAGACTTGACCGGTGACTTTGCCAAATTCTTTTTTTTGCGCTGTAGTGCAGGCTGGGCTTGAGCTCGCGATGTAAGCCAGGCAAGCTTTGACCTTGTGGCCATCCTCCTGCCTCAGCCTCCAGAGTGCTGGGATGGCAGGTGTGTGCCCCCATGCCTGGCTCTGCCAATTCACGTAGGATGGGCCCCTGGTGAGGCACTGAGCAGTCCCTGACGAGGGTCAGGACAGCTTACCTAACGGCTGCAGTCATCTCAGCAGATGGACTCCAGTCTCAGTCGCTGTTTGTGCTGAGGGAACTCGGGAATCCGCCTACAGACAGCCAGAGTCTGAATCAGGGTGGCACAGGTCTCTGCGTGTGCGAAGCCGTTTGTCCAGGTTGGTGCAGGAGGATGGATGGTAACATTGCCTGAGCTTCTTTCTCTTCCACAAGTGTAGGTGCCTGAAGAAGGCCACCTGGACCTTTACTGCCTCCCACTCGCAGGCTGCAGCCGTTGCTCTCGGTCCTGGCAAGGAAGTGGGTGAGAGACGCATGGTTTGGTGCCGAGGAGGGACTGGCCTGTGTCTGCCCTATTTTTGGGGTACTCAGAATGGAACCTGGGTCTTGCTCATGCCGGGCAAGCATTTTGCCACTGAGCCACACCCTCAGCTCCAAGAATTTAATTAAGAGCAGTTTGAGGTTTATGGAACCATTAATCAGAAAATACAGAGTGGGCCTGGTCATGTGGCTCAGCGGTAGTGTCGTGGACGGAACTGGTAAATGACACATAGAGACACAGGACTGGGTGAAACAAAACAGCGGTTACTTTGCTAGCCAAGGATCGGCCCGCACCAAGAGCTGTGCCAAATGACCGACCCTGGACTGGGTGACAGTCTGCCTTTTATAAGAGTCCTACGGTCGGGACCTCATTTTAGGGGCTAAGACATTCCAGTTCCCACAGTTTCCATCACAGATTATGGTCACAAGACAGTTCAGTGGTAACTCAAATGTAGCATTTTCTTTCAGGATGTTTATCTTCAGCTATTTCAGCCCACAGGCGTGGAGGTCAGGGTTAGGAAAGCAGGACTGGTGACATTCCTTTCATTTTAGCACCTTTTAGTCTCATGGTTTACAGAAAGTTTCATGGCTCAAGTACTGTCATCTTAGTTTGAACATCTGGTCTCATCTTGGGATGCAGCTTAGCACCTCCGGCATCTGTTAATTTTAAGCTGGGCTATGTGCCTTTAAGCTTTAATGGGGAAACCTTGGGTGTTTTGTTAAACAAGCAGAACAAAGCAAAGTACAGAAGCAAAAGGCAGAGTTTATTCCATGTTTTTAAATCTTTTCTAAGTTTCAGGCTATTTACAGAAGTTCTCTTTATCAGTAGAGTGCCTGCTTAGCATGTGCAAGGACCTGCGTATAATCCCAGCACTGCAAAAACAACAGGAAATAAAGTAGAGCCAGGCACAGTGGCACACACCTGTAATCTCAGCAGTCTGGGAATCTCAGGATCTGTAATCTTAGTAAGCTGAGGCAGGAGGATCTCAAGTTCAAGCCCAGTCTGGACAAGTTAAAAACTTAGCAAAGACCTGTCTCAAAATAAAATAGAGCTAGGGATGTTGCTCAGCACCAGTGCCCTGGGTTTTAACCCTACTACTGCAAAAATAAAAATAAATTAAAAAAGTAACAAAAACATAGTGTTCCTACACCACATCTGTACAATTTGACCAATTAAAAAAAATCTAGTATTACTGTGCCATGTTTGTTAAAAATCAGCGAACCAATATTGATACATTGAGTGCGATTTTACATGAGGGCTGACTCTTACTGTTAGGTGTTCTGTGTGCTTTCTTTCCTGTTTAGTGACATATGTCCATTATATCCCCGTGATACAGAATAGTTTCCCCAATTCCTACAACTCTGTATTCTACTTTTTCCTTCTACCTTGAAAGCTCTGGCAGCGAGTGATCTTTTTATTGTCTCAGAGTCCTGTCTTTCTTTGTTGTTTTAGGACAGTGTCTCCCTATGCAGGGCAGGCTGGCCTTGAGCTGTGTACCAGTTCTACGTCTCAGCCTCTGGAGTGCGGGGATAGGAGGTGTGGGCCGCCGTGCCTGGCATCATAGTTTTGTCTTTTGAACAATGTCTGATGCTTGGAATCAGATTGTGTGTAACTTTTATAGATTGTCTTCTTTGATTTGATTTATTTATTGCCAGTACTGGGAGTTAAACCCAGGGCCTTGTTACATGCTAAATGTTCTACCACCAAACTACATTCCCAGCCCTACTATGCACCTTTTAAAAATTTTCTGAGGCACAGTCTTGCTGTGTAGGGCAAGCTGGCTGTCTTACTTTTTTTGTTGCTGAGACAAAATACCCGGCACTCAAAGTTATAGAAGGAAAGGTTTATTTTGGCTCATAGTTTGTCGAGGTTTCAGCTCCTGTCGGCTGGCTCCAAGGCAGTGCGGCACGGCAGAGGGGCGTCACAGAAAAACAGTTTATGCTGGGGAGAAGGCAGTAAAGCAGTGGAGCAGCAAGCGACAGATGGGTGACACTCACATCCAAGGTGGGCCTTCCCATTGTGCCAAACCGGTGAGCGGACCGATTTAGTCACCACACACCTTAATCCCAGCACCACACACTCCAGATCCAGCCACCTCTGACCGCATGAGGCTTGTGGGGGGCATCTAGACGGAAGCCATAACATTGGCCTTAGCCTCTCCGCTAGCCATTACAGGTGTGTGCCGACACTTCCATTTTAGTGTGTGCGTGAGGCTCTTCCTAGTCTTTTCATCTTTTGGCACAGGGGCTTGAACTGGGGACCTTGCCCTTGCGAGGCAAGCAGCAGAACCACTGAGTTAAATCCCTGGCCCCTCATTTCTTTTTATCCCTGAGCAAAATTTCATCACAGGCAGGTAGCAGAGATTGTGTATGCATCACTTATGAAGAATACTATGGCTAACTCTAAGTTTTGGCAGAGATAGCCAGGCATCGTGGTGCACACCGTAATCCCGGCACTTGGGAGGCTGAGGCAGGAAGATCATGAGTTTGAGGCTGGCCTGAACTATACATAATGAGACCCTGTCTTGAAAAACAACAAACAAGCAAGTTTTGGCAGTTATAACTGAAGTTTCTGCAGCCGTTCATGTTCAGGTTTTTGTGTGAACGTATGTCTCTTTCTTATTTGGTAAATGCCCAGGAGCATAGTTGTTTGTTTGATTGTATGGTGAGAATATATTTAGTAAGAAGCTAGCTGCCGGTCTTCCAAAAGACGAAGCCGTTTTCCGTTCCTTGTAGAAACAAAGGGAGCTTCTTAACCTCCACATCTTCAGCATCATTTAGTGCTCTCAGTGTGTTCAAGTTTAGCCATTTTACTAAGGATGTGCTGCTGTTTCATTCTTTTTCTTGCAATTCTCTAATGACATAAAATTTTAGCTACTTTTTATGTACCTATCTGCCATGTGTTTGGTGGGAGGATACTTGCTCAAATCTTAAGCTCATTTTTAATTTTCCCCTTTGTCCTATTGAGTTTTCGGAGTTTAATCTGGGCATGATGGCACATGCTGATGATCCTAGCGCTTGCGAGGCTGAGGCCGGAAAATCATTATGAGTTTGAAGCCAGCCTGGGCTACATAGTGTATTCGAGGCTTGCCTTAACTACATGGTGAGACCCTGTCAAAACAAAACAAAGCAACAGAAAGTTCCCTGAATGTTTTCCAGTGCCTGTCTTTGATTAAATAAATGTTTTGCAAGATTTTTTCACCCTTTTATTACCTCTTAGCATGTGTATTATATCCTTATTCTCTATATCTGGACTAAACTTTGGGTTAGAATCTACCTGCCTCTACAGGTGAACATAACAGTTATAAAAAAGTTATGAGCTGGACATGGTGGCACACGCCTGTCATCTCAGCATTCATGAGGCTGAGGCAGGAAGATCGCAGCAAGTTTGAGGCCAGCCTGAAGTATAAAAGGAGACTGTCTCAAAAAAAAAAAGCAGGGGCTGAGGATGTAGCTCAGTGGTGCTGCACCTGCCCAGCAAGCACAAGGTCCTGAGTTCTCTTCCTAGTACCAGCCAACCAACCAACAAACAAAAAAACCAACCAAAAAACAAAGAAATAACAATAACAAAAACAGGTTATACCTAATTATTCTGATAGCTTTCAGATCTTTTTATATCAAAACAAGCTGTCATCTTTATTTTTTTTTGCAGTTAGAGAACAGTAAGACTTCTAGTGACCATAATATAATCATGGAGTTCAGTTCTATGTGCTCTTAGTACTGAGAAATTTCTGAGCCAGTGATTGTGGACAGAGGTAAGAATCTGACAGCCGCATTCATTTACTGTAGACTGAATGTGTGGACCCCCAGAATCGTATACGAGCTTTTTCTGGACGGAACAGAAATCCTCTATGCTGTGCATCACCTGCCTCTGTAAACACATCTGGGTTGTTTCAGGATCCTGTGACCTTCGATGATGTGGTCGTGAACTTCACCCTGGATGAGTGGGACCTGCTGGATCAGTCCCAGAGGGAACTCTACCGAGAGGTTGTGGGGGAGATCTTTACGAGCTTGGCTTTTATAGGTAAGAAGACGTCCTCTCTTCCGTTAATTAGAGAACTTGTCTTTCCCCACCTCCAGTGCTGTGTCATGATTTGAAACGTGGGAAGGGAATACTTTGGTAAAGAAGTGGCACGGTGGCGGTCCATTGTGAATGTGTGGACCCTATTATGTTTTTTCCTCATTCTAATAATGATTTTTCTGGCCCTACATCACAGGGGAGAAATGGAACCAGAACATTGAAGACTGGTACAGAAATCAGGGGAGAAATTTAAGGTAATTTATAATGAAAAGAGAAAGCAGTGTCCCGCAAAAGAATATTAGTATGCCAGGAAAATATTAAAACAGTAGATCAGCTCACCTCCACATTTATCAAGAAAATTTCCACCAAGGCTGGGGATTTAGCTCAGTGGTTCCACTGCCTGTCTTAAAATTTTCCACTAAAAATATGTACTTAAATGTGACATAGATGTTCAGTGTTTGCAAAATAGGAAACATTTATTAGAGATTATGAATATAAATATTAGTATTTTAAATAAAATAGAAGGATTTAAGCCCTCTTTTTTTTTCTTTTTTTTGGTTTTTTGAGACAGGGTCTCACTATGTAGTTGAGACTGACCTGGAACTCACTATGCAGCCCAGGTTGGTCTCGAACTCACAGCGATCCTCCTGCCTCAGCCTCCCGAATGCTGGGATGGCAGGTGTGCGCCACCACACCCCACTCTATTTAAACCCTCTTACAGAGAGCTGACCATGGATTTTGAAACAACGCAGGCAGAGTAGAAAACCCATGCTCGACAGTCATCGCCTATACACTTTGTGGATCATCCCCTGGGATTAAAATGGCTTTTGGTTGAAAAGCAGGGATCTAGTATAGTGGTCTTCATAAGACAAAGCAAACCAGCTCTATGTCAGAGGAGAGAGCTGCAAGAACCTCAAAGTTGACGCAACAGTGATTGGATTCAGCTTCTTCTGAAACTGTCACCACCCTTCCATTTCTGACCTCTACTCAGGGCATAATCTCCACCCGTCAGTTTAGGCAGATACGTCCATGACTACACTTTACAGTTCTGCACTTGTTTAGCTGTGCTAGAAAAGACCAAATGCAAAACCTCCTAAATAATCTTTCCTATACCCTGTCTTTTCCTTTCTAAACAAATACTTACGGAATGAATGTTATAATTAATATGCATTATACTTTATTCATCCTATGTATAAATGTATACTGAATAAACAAAATCATGACAGTTTGTGAGATCAAACCTAGAACTACAAATGCAACTACTAAAGAGACTAGATATATAAAATGTATAAATAAATTATCTGAATTAACAAAAAAAGAAAAGAAAACCTGTCCTAGGGGCCAGGGATTTAGCTCAGTGGTTCTGCTGCCTGTCTTGCAAGCTCAAGGACCCGAGTTCAATCCCCCGTACCAAAAAGAAAACCTGCGCTTTCCCCAATAACAGTAAAAATGTAAGTTTAAACACATATTGATAAATATGAATTGTTAGTAAGCAAATTCTATGTTTTTCATTTCTTACAGCAGTCACATTGTAGAGAGCCTCTGTGAAAGAGACAAAGGTGGTCAGTGTGGAGAAACCTTCACCCGGATACCAGATCCGAATTGGAACCAGAAAAGCCTTCCTGAAGCGAAATCCCAGGAATGCCCTGTGTGTGGAATAGTCTTCGTGCCTCTGTCACCTTCATCTGACCCCATCACATCTCCCACGGGACAGGAATTAAATGAATATCAGGAATTGGAAGGGAAACCACATACATGTAGGCACTGTGAGAAAGCCTTGGGGTGTTACTGCCCTTTCCAGATGGATGATAGGAGTCACTCTGGAGAGAAGCCCTATAAATGCCAAGGACATGAAGAGGCCTTCCTTTCTGTCACCAGCCTGGGAGGATACGTGATAACTCATGCTGGAGGTGGACCACATAAGTGTTCTGTGTGTGGAAAAGGCTTGCAGTATCCCAGTTCACTTAGGATCCACGAAAGGATTCACACTGGAGAGAAGCCTTTTGAGTGTAACGAGTGTGGGAAAGCCTTCAGTTGTTTAGGTTCAGTTCGAAGACACCAAAGAACCCACACTGGAGAGAAACCCTATTCATGTAGGGAGTGTGGAAAAGCCTTCAGCTCTCTCTCGGGTCTTCAGGGACACACGATGAGGCACACTGGAGGTGGTCCTCACAAGTGTAAACAATGTGGGAAGGTCTTTAACTCCCCCAGTGCCCTGAAAAAACATGAAAGAACTCACACAGGAGAGAAGCCATATCCATGTAAGCATTGTGGGAAAGCCTTCATCTGCTCCACTTCAGTTCGAAAACATGAAAGAACTCACACGGGAGAGAAGCCCTATGAATGTAAGCAGTGTGGGAAGGCCTACATTTCTCTTTCGGGCCTGCAAGGACACATGATAAGGCACACAGGAGATGGGCCTTATAAGTGTAAATTTTGTAGGAAGGCCTTCGGGTCTCCCAGTGCAGTTCTGAGGCATGAAAGTGCACATGTTGTGTAGGATTCCCATGAAGGAAATACGGGAAAGCTTCTGTCTTCCAGGTGTTTTAAAGATATGTTTGAACATAATGGAGGCTGATCTGACAAATGTAGGGTATCTGAGGAAGCTGAAGAAATCTTATTTTAATTCAACTACAGAAAAAAAATCACACCGGAGAGAGACACTATGAATGTAAGAAATGTGGGAAAGTTTTGGAACATCAGAGTTTGTTTGGAATGCAGGAACTGGTAAAAAAAAAAAAATCCCTATGAGTAAAATTGAAATTTTGCCCAGTTCCTTTCGATTTTTTTTTTTTTTTTGTATTGGGGATCGAACTCAGGTCCTTGTGATTACAAGGCAGAACCACTGAGCTAAATCCCTGGCCCCTCCTTTTGATCTTATTAAGTTTTAATTTTTTTTTTTTCTTTTGGCACAGGGTCTCAGTAGGTAGTCCAGGCTGGCTTTGAACTCACTATGTAGCCCAGGCTAGCCTCAAATGGTGCTCCTCCTGCCTCAGCCTCCTGAGTGCTGGGATTACACCACATCTGACTGCCCCCGAATCTGGCTTCCCAGTTCCTTTTGAAAAGGTAAAATCATGAAATCATGAACTATTTGGAAACAGCTGGCTCTTTTTTTTTTTTTTTTTTGGTACCAGGGATCAAACTCAGGTCCTTGTACTTGTGAGACAGTTGCAAGAACCACTGGGCTAAATCTCCAGCCCCCAGTCATGAAATATTTGGAAAACAGGGTCTCGCTATGTAGTTCAGGCTGGCCTTGAACTCACTGTGTAGCCCAGACTGGCTTCAAACTCACTGCAGTCCTCCTGCCTCAGCCTCCCAAGTGCTGGGATTACAGATTTGTATCACCATGCCTGGCTCTGGTAGGGTAGTTTTGATTTTAGCATTCCAAGCATATCACACTCAAGGATGGGCCTCCATTAATTACATGCAGGCTTTGGGAGAAAGAGCTCCCATCTCTGGGTCTGATTGTCTTCCAGGTCAGAGGTGCAGCCCCCGGTATCTGGGGATGGGTGAGAAATAGTGAAGTTTGCACCTCAGGGAAGAAATCAGCGGAAGCAGAAGGCAGAGGGGGCTGGTGCTCTTGGCTACACAGTTTGCATGGGGTCTATACCTTGCTGAGCTGAGCCAGCAGCTACATGGGTAGTCTTATTCCAAGTGGTATGGACTTCTCCTTTTAACAAGTTTATAGAGATATTCTTATCAGTTCCTGATGTAAGCCTGGGCAAATCAGCAGGACCCTGTCTAAAAACAAAAAAATCAAGCTGGATGCGGTGTCACGTGCTTGTAAACCCAGCACTCTGGGAGGCTGAAGCAGGAGGATCATAAATCTGAGCCCAGACTGGGCAAGTAAATGACTGAGACCCTGTCTCAGAATAAAAGTATGAAACCAGAGGTCTGGGGTGTACCTCAGGGAGAAGGCCTGCGGTTCAGTCCCTAGTAGTGGGGGGAGAAACAGAGGCAGAGCGCAGCCCCATGGCAGAGAGCACTTGCCTCACCTCATGAGGCTCGGTGTTCAGTCCCTAGCACCGCAAGACTGAAGAACTTAACCTGATGTTTTATTTATTGTTTGCCACGGTAGATTAAAAACATTTTTTAAAGCTTATCGGTTCGTTTTAGGTGTAGAGAACAGTCATACCCATCACTGGGACCTCGTACCTTCCCAGGACAGGTCCTGGTTCTCATTTTCCCATCCCCTCCCCTCCCTGCAGCCCTCCCATCCCTCCCTGTGTACAAAGACTTTTCTCCTATGTTTTCCGCTCCCTCCCCTACCTTTCTCACCTGCCCTTTTCCTGTGGACCTTTCTTCCTATTTCACACTATCTGTTACACATTGTGACCCTAATTTACACCGTCGGAGGAACTGTTCGGTACGTACACGTGTGTCCTATTTCTCTCTCGAGTGTACCACCACAGAATAGTTTTTAAAAGCAGCCTTCTCCATGTATTAGCTAAGAGCTCCTTTTACCAGTTCTCTGGATTGAAAAAAGTAAATTTTTGCCACCTATGTGTGAAATTATCTCTTTATTACATATAAAACTGAATGACCACAAAGAGATGCAATAAAAAAAGAAATGAAAGCATAAGCAAAACTCCAACGTCTTGAAACCATCTAGCAATGAAGTCAGCTTTTTTGGGTTCATTATATTAATGAACTTTGATTTCTAAAATGTTATTGATTCTTTTTCTGTTTTATGAATATTGCTACTGATAAATTCAAGTTGCTCAATGCCGTTGATTACAAATAATTTATTTAATTTATTTTTGGTACCGGGGATCGAACTTGGGACCTTATGCTTTTGGGACAGGTGGTGGAACCACTGAGATAAATCCCTGGCCCGATTACAAATAATTTAGATGTGATTCAACTGCACAAAAACAGAAAATGACTTCAGTCTTTAGATAGGAGACAATTCTGAAACGCTAGTTTAAACATAGATGGCAGATGTACAGTGAGCCCTGAGAGTCTTCCTATTTAGAAGAAAACTCCAGAAGATCTCTGAACTCCTGGAAAGACATTTATAGAATTCCATTTTGCAAATTCTTATGTTTCTGTTGGGAAGAAATAACCCTTACAAAGAGAGCCAATAGTTTATTAAAACAAGGTCGTAAAATGTCAAAACAAGTTGGATGCGAATAAGGCTTTTCATTTTTAGAAGACTCCTTGGGGAGGGGGCAGTTGCAAGATACCTTTGATCACAAAGGGCCTGAGAATCAGAGTACTTTGGTTTCATCTTTGCTTCCATATCTGTGTTTAGTTTTACTGCTTCTATGGCAACTTGGGTGCAACAGAGTGGGATTATTTTGCACAAGTCATTAAGCACCTCTGGGCCAGTTCAAACCTCTTTTTACAAATTTATCTCATGTATTTGTCATAGTAATGGAAACCTAACTCAGTACCTCATTAATATGTATAACTCCTGTGACTTTATCAATTACAAATGTAAATTTAACAACAACAAAAAAACCCTTAAAAATGGAAACACTCCCAAAACTCATGAGATATGGCAGAGCCAGTCCTAAGGAGGAAGTTCACAACAAATGCCTCCATCCAAAAAGAAGAGAGAGCGGGGCGTGGTGGCGCCTGCCTGTAATCCCAGCACTTGGGAGGCTGAGGCAGGAGGATCTCTGTGAGTTCGAGACCAGCCTGGGCTACACAGTGAGTTCTAGGTCAGTCTCAACTACACAGTGAGACCCTGTCTCAAAAAACCAAAAAACAACCCCCCCCAAAAAAAAGAAGAGGAGAGGCAGCATGACTCAGTGGTGGTGTGTAAAACCTTGGGTTGATCCTCAGCATGGAAGGAAAGGAAAGGAAACATGGAAGGGAAGGAAAAAAGGAAGTGAAGGACGAAGAAAAAGAAAAAAGGGAGAAAAGAGGACAGGGAGGAAGATCCCAAGCCAGGACTGCACATCAAGATACCACAAAAAAGAGTGAGCTAAGCCCAGTGTTGAAGAAAGAATGAAATTAAAAAGGATCAGCACAGAAATAAATAAAGCAAGGACTAGAAAAGCAATGGAAAAGATGAACCAAACTCAGACTTAGGTTTTTCAAAAGAAAAAGACAAATCAACTACCTTTAGGTAGGCTAAGGGGGAAGAAAAACCCCTAGACTCAAATGAGCAAAATCAGAAATTAGACAGACTGTGCAACTGATCCCATAGAATACAAAAAGTATAAACTGCTATGACCATTATGTCAAAAAATTGGGTAACTTAGAAGAAATGGATACATTTAGAGAATCTTATCTACCAAGACTAAATCAGGAAGAATTAGAAAATCCTAACATACCACATTTTTTTTTGTTTTTGTTTTTGGTTTTTTTTGGAGACAGGGTCTCACCCTGTAGCCTAGGCTGGTCTCGAACATGGCAATCCTCCTGCCTCAGCCTCCTGAGTGCTGGGATTACAGGTGTGCACCACCATGCTCTGCTCTAACAAGAGCAAGGTAACAAGATTAAATCAGTAATAAAGTTTTCTACTGGCTGATGTGATGCTACACACCTATAACCCCAGCATGCTGGGATGCTGCGGCAGGACTGCAGTATCAAGGCAACTCAGTGACTTAGTAGAACCTGTTTTGTTTGTTTGTTTTTAAAGGTGGGAACACAGGTCAGTGCGAAGGTCCTGGGTTTAATTCCCAGTGCTACAGAAACAAAAACACTTTCCCCAGCAAAGCCCAGAAACTGATGGCTTCATTGCTGAGTTCAACCATTTTATGACCGTGGTCCCACAGGATTATAATGAAGCTGGCAAATCCCTATTGCCTGGTGACACTGCAGCCATCAATGTTACAGTACAACATATTACTAAGGTGTCTGTACTGTACTTCTCGTTCCTACTTACACAGAGTTTACTGTAAAACTGCATGCCCTGTCACACAGTCAGCGGCCTCTGACATCTCGTGTCGCCGAGTCTCTTGACTGCACCCTGAGGCCACGCTGAGCTGAGCATGGTGGCGCCTGTTGGTAAACCTGGCTACTCAGGAGCATGAGGCAGGAGGACTGCGAGTTCAAATTCAACCTGGGCAACTTAAGACACTGTCTTCAAATGTTCACATGATGATCAAACGGCCTAACATTCCTCAGAAAGTACCCACTTCCTTAAGTAATTTGTAATAGCAAACCTCAAATGTTTCCAAATAATTCTAACTCATTTTGTAAGGTCAGCATTCTGCTGATACCAAAAACAGGAAAGGCTATTTCAAAAAAGGAAGTACCGGACGAGTACTCCTGGTAAACCAGACATGGGGTCTGCCTCCCTTACCACGGCTCCAGTGTCCGAGTAGTGCCTCCCTCACCTCTGCCTTGCAGCTCACATGCTCATTAGATTATTGGTGGATTCTTCCCGGAAAATTTAGTCCTTGCCAGATTGGATGGCAAAGGTCCGTAATCCCAGCACTCAGGAGGCTGAGGCAGGAGGATTGCCACAAGTCCAAGGCCAGCCTGAATAACATAGCACGACCCTGTCTAAAAAAAAAAAAGTCTTACTCCATTTGTGCTGCTATAACAAAAACCCCAATTTCTCGCAGTTTTACCTGCTGGGATATCCAAGATCAAAGTGAAGGAAGGTTCAGTGTCTGGTAAGGATCCTTTCTCTGCTTTCAACTGGCAGCTTGAACACTTTATCCTTCATAGGGTGCTGTGTTGTCCCATGGCAGAAGGGTGAAGGGGCCTAGTTAGTTACCTTTTATAAGGCACTGGTCCCATCCATGAAGACAAAAAGCTCTTAACGAAAATCACTATGAAGCCTACCTCTCAATACTTTTGCATTAGGGATTAATTTCAACACTTAACACATTTAAATCCCAGCAAAAACATAAAAGAAACAGATTCTAAAAAATCTAGTTCATGACTGAGATAAAAGGATTGTAAGTCTGAGCCTCATCTGAGTAACTTAAATGACCTGGTAAGATACTGTCTCCAAATAAAAAAAAAAAGGGGGTTTAGGATGTAGCCTATTTTGATGGTTTGGGGTTCGATCCCTACAACAGGAGAAAGGGGGTTAAAAAAAAAGGTGGACTGTACATAAGAGGTAAGGATATATATTCAGTACCTTACACATAAGACTGATAGGAATACCCAAATTATTAACATGTCATTTTTTAACATTCCATTTACTCAAGAGAACAGTTTCAAAACTAAAGTTAAACCTATGTTCACATAAGAAATGTGCTTCAAGCTGCTTGTGGTGGCGCACGATGAAATCCCAGCACTTGGGAGGCCGAGGCAGGAGGATCACTGTGAGTTTGAGACCAGCCTGGGCTACACAGTGAGTTCCAGGTCAGTCTCAACTACATAGTGAAACCCTGTCTCAAAAAACCAAAAAAAAAAAGGAGAATAAAAAGAAATACACTTCAACCCACCCATCAATAAAAAAAAAAACTTTAAAATGTAAATTAAAAAATTTGTAGGGCCTGGAATTTAGCTCAGTAGTGCCACTGCCTGCCTCCCAAATGTAAGGTCCCAAGTTTGATCCCTGGTACAAAAATTTTTTTTGTAGGATTGGCAATTTATCTCAGTGGCAGAGCAATTGCCTAGCATGTGCAAGGCCCTAGGTTCAACCTAAACACAAGCAAATAAAACACACACATATATATATATATACATATCCATACACATTCACACCTTAACAAAAAACACTATCCTGTTAAACTTTACAGTATAGGGTTCTTACCTCTAGATCTTTGAGAAAGTTCTAAGTAGAAATACATAGTCTAGAGATGAACTTTAAGAATAAGTCACCAGGGGCTGGGGATTTAGCTCAGTGGTTCCGCTGCCTGCCTCACAGAGGCGAGGTCCCAAGTTCTATCCCGGCACCAAAAAAAAAAAAAAAAAAAAAAAAAAAAAAAAAAAAAAAAAAAAAAAGAAAGAAAGAATAAATCACTAATAATGACAATGTAATTTTTATGTTTCACGTAAGACTTCTAGAGCATTACACATGGTTTAATTTGCATTAGACTTTTCATATTTCCTATATTTCTTTTCAGTGGGAACATTCACATGTCTTAGAAATTATTATTTGTAGACTGAATCTAGGGGCTCACACATTCTAGGCCAGTGCCATACCACTGAGCTACATCCTCGCTTCTGAAACGGTCAAAACTAAAATTTTATGTTTTTTATATTTATATGGTTTCTATTTAGTACCCACTCTCACATTTTTTTTTTTTTGGTACTGGGGAATCATGCTTGGGTCCTTTTGCTTGCAAGGCAGGCAGCGGAACCATTGAGCTAAATCCCTGGCTCAGTCTCACATTTGTATAAGGATGTGGACAAGTAGAAACCCTTCCCACATATGTAAGTAATGCGTTCGTCCACTGAGTTTGAATGGAGTACAATACTGGGGAGGTTTACCGTATTGGCTATATTCATAGAGTTTCTGTCCAGTATTTTTTCTCCACCCATATTTGAAATTCACTGTAAAAAAATGCTTTTCTGCATTCCTGACATTCATAAAGTTCATAAAGCTGGGGATTCAGTGAAGTGGTGCCACCTGCCCCGGAAGTGCAAGGTCCCCAGTCCGATCCCTGGTACCGTGAAGCTCCTCTCCAGTGTGTATACCACCGCTCTGGACACTTAAAAAAAATAAGGCACATAGATATTCTTGACATTCATAAGACTTTTCCCTACTGTGATCTTTTATATATGTGGAAATCTGATGAAAAATAAAGATTTTTCCCATGTTTCACAGTCACTGCATTCTTTTCCAGTATGAGTCCTTTCGTGCCTTTGAAAGAACCTGGGTCAAATAAAGTTTTCCCCATTCTTTGTATTTGTAGTTTCTCTCGAGCATGTAGTCTCAGGTGTACATGAAATCTTGAGGGATCCCTGAAGTTTTACCACGCTGCTTTTATATATAGGGCTTCTCTCCAGCGGTTTTTTTGTATCTGGAATCAACTGGGAGGAATCAATGCTTTCCACTTTCTCCACATTTCTAAGGTGCGTCTCCATTGTGGTTTAGCAGAACTGAAACCATTGTACAAAAATGAAGACTTTCTGGAATTCCTTACATTCCTAGGCTTTTTCTCCTTTGTGAGTTCTTTCATGTCTACAAAGGGAACGGGGCCAGGAAAGGCCTGACTACATTTTTTATACTCATAGATCGGCTCTCCACTGATTCTTTTTACGAATTTTAAAGGAAAAAGCACAAATGAGAAACTTACCACATGCTTACATTTTTAGTGTCCTATTCCAGTGAGAGTGTTTGTTACATCTGTTTTTATTCCCAGTGAATCTTTTCATGCATTCGAAAATTGGGATGTTGGAAGGCTCTCCCACACTCTACATGCCTAGGGCTTCTCTCCAGTGTGAGGCCTTTCATGTGCTCAAAAGGTAGTGGGCCATTTGGAGGCTTTACCACAGCTTACATTCAAAAGGCCTCTCACCAGTGTGCTACCCCATGTCTTCTTAAGGTAAAGGGACAAATGAATGTTCCCCCACATTCCTTACACTCGTGGGGCTTCTCTCCGGTGTGCAGTCTCAGATGTACTGGAAACATTGAGCGCTAGCTGAAGGCTTTCCCACATTCCTCACATTTACAGGGATTCTGTCCAGGGTGAGTCTTTTGATGAATTTGAAAGGTACTAGGAAACTTGAAGGCTTTACCACACAGTTTACATTCAAAAGGCTTCTCACCAGCGTGTGTTACTCCATGTCCTCTTAATGTACTGGGAGCAATGAATGCTTTCCCATGTTCTTTACATGTACAAGGCTCCTCTCCTGAATGAGTTCTTTCATGTTTTGAAGAGATTTGGGCCAGTGGAAAGCTTTACCACAGTTTTCATATTCATAGGATTTTTTTTTTTCCAGGGTGAGTTGTATCTGAAATAATTTGTGTAATATGAAGGTTTTTCCACATTGTTTATATTCATGTTTTTTTGCCAGGCTGAGTCCTTTCACGTTTAAGAGAGGACTGAAGAAAACTGGAGGCACTGTCTCGATCCTTACACTTACTTGACTTCCAATACTCATAGGATTGGAGTTTAGTGTGAGATGTGATGGGCCTAATAAAGGCTGGATGGTGCATGAAGACTATGCCACACACACAACATTTGCATGTTTTTTTCTAGTAGTCTTGTTTAGATTAACATTTGGAATCTGGCTAAATGTTTCTCCACTTGGATTATTGTCTTTGCTCCCACAGACTTTTTCTACCATTTAAGGGCTGGAAAAAAATGACAAGGGCATTAGTAATAGCTTATAAATGATTTCACCTTCACTAACAGGCATCAGTAGTATATTTTTAGCACTTTTAGAAAATACATAAAACTTCTGCCCTGTCGGAATGTTTGACAGTGAATACCCTGAAATGTTTTGCAAGGCGTGACCAGAGCCAGATGCAGTGGCCCATATCTATAATCCCCACTACTCAGGAGGCTGAGGCAGAAGAATTGCAAGTTCAGGGTCAGCCTGAGAAATTCAGGGAGACCTTGTCATGAATTACATGCCTGTAATCGCAGACTCTGGGAGGCTGACAGGCAGGAGCCTGGACCAGTGTGGGTGAGGCCATGGGTTCAATCCCCAATTAAAAAAAAAAAAAGGCCGTGCATAGCTATAGTCAAAACAATGACATGTATAAGTGTGGTTTCTGAACACTTTCCAAATAAACTTGTTTTGAAAATACTGAATAACACATCACAGCCTGTAAATATTTTCAATTCTATTCAAATGAAGCTGAGTGTGGTGTTGCATGCCTGTAATCTTAGCTACTTGGGAACCTGAGGCAGGAAGATCACAAGTTCTAGGCCAGCCTGGGCAACTTAGTATAACCCTCTATTAAAATAAAAAATACGGGCCGGGGATTTATCTCAGTGGTTCCGGCACCGGCCTTGCAAGCACAAGGACCGAGTTTGATCTCCAGTACCAAAAACAAAAAAGGGCAGGGGATAGTTCACTGGTAGAGGACTGCTAGGTTCAAGCCCAGTACCTCTAAATAAATAAGGCTGAAGCTGAGCTTCTTTCCTATGTATCCTCTTATAGCTCCATGATATACTGAGACTGCCTCTTGGGACACTGCTTCCTCCTGTGAGTACCACTTACCTTAGACAGCTCTCCTGGGTTTTCAACTGATATTTAATGTTCTGATCTTCCCATTTTTCTCCTGAAATACGAATAAAGAATAATCTTTATGAAATTATAGAAAAATTAGTAGTCTGTTGTTAAGTAAATTAGAACAGAGACCAGGCTAGAAGAATCTCTAAAGAGACAAAGTGAGTTAGGTCTCATTAGTAACCTTCACCTTGCTTAATTTGCAAACAGGCAAAATTTAATATTTCCTTCTGTTCTCTCTCTCCTTCTTTTGTGGTACCAATGACTGAACCCAGGCCTTTGCACTGAGCTCTTTTCTGTTTTTGTTTTGAGACAAGGTCTCACTAAGTTGCTAAGTTGTCCAGGCTGGGCTCGAACTTATAATCCTCCTGTCTCAGTCTCCAAAACTGTTAGGACTACAGAGGAGCTAACTTGAATTATTTCTTATAAATGTCTATATTCCAGAAAAATGAAATGCAAGCTGCCAGACACTAACTGGTAGACAGGCACAGTGGCACACGCCTATAATCCCAGGCACCTAGGAAGCTGAGGCAGGAGGATTACAAGTTTGATGCCAGTCTGAGCAACTTAGTGAGAGCCTGTCTCAAAATAAAATTTAAAAAATGGCCTGGGGATGTAGCTTAGTGGGAGGTTCTAAGTCAGTGATAACGAACCTTTTAGAGCTTTCAGTGATACAAACAGCCTGCTGTGGCATTCACCTCCACTGCTCTAGGGTCAATCAATTCCTAGTACTGGAAAAAAAAAAAAAGGCTGGGGGCATGGTTTAGTGGTATGGTTCTTACCTAGATGCTCCATGCCCTGGATTCAATCCCAGCACTCCCCCACCCCACAAAAAAGACACCAGCTAACATATTACTGGGGACTTTTTAAAGCCTGGATAGAGCAAATAATGCTACTGTACAACAGCTATCAATGAAATATTTCTTTGCTTCTGTGTTTCCAGTATAAAACCTAACCCTTGTGTTCCCTTGGCAGAGCTAAAACTATCTCCAGTCCAGTGCTTCCGAACTCATAAATCACTGATTGTTCAAGTAATTTTTTTTAAGTTTCACTCTTAGTTTGCCTTTTGACAAAGCGGTAGCCATGTCTGGTTTATCTAATAAACAGGTCACCTTTCCACAGGCAAAACCTGACAGAGCATTCCTCTTCTGGATAAGAAAGAAACACTGCCCTCTTACTGAAAGAACGATGCCACCTTACCTATAGAGGCCAGGTTCTGGAAGGTGTCCAGCATCACATCTCTGTAGAGTTTCTTCTGGGAGGGGTCCAGCAAAATCCATTCCTCCAGGGTAAAGTTCACAGACACATCCTCAAGAGCCACTGAGTCCTGAAATACCCCAAATTTGTATGCAAGAACATGAGTGACACAGGTCGAGGAATCTATATTCAATTCATAAGAAGGTTACACATGATTCTGTGGCCTTCAACGGTTAGTGTGTGAAGTGGTCACCAGAACTCTTATTCCCTTTCCACACTCTTCCTTATTTTTTTTTCTTTTGGTACCAGGGATTGAACTGAGGACCTTGGGAACCACTGAGCTAAATCCCCAGCCCTCTTCTTTATGAGTTTAATAACACATTGTGCATTCGGATTTATCTCTACATTTTTACTGTCGCCACTACAGGTCTTATGACTGTCAGTTGGTAGAGTCCAATTTGCACTTGGAGTAATGCTGTATAATGAAACAAATTACTCCATACCCTGTGAGCCACAGGGTCAAACCAGGATTAGTTTTTGTTTTGTTTTTTGTACTGGGGATTGAACTTGGAATCTTGGGCTTGCCAGGCAGGCAGCAGAACCACTGAGCTAAATCCCAGCCCTACGATTAGGCTTTTTTTTTTTTTTTTTTTTTTTTATGGTTTTTTGAGACAGGGTCTCACTATGTAGTTGAGACTGACCTGGAATTCACTATGTAGCCCAGGCTGGTCTCGAACTCACAGCAATCCTCCTGCCTCAGCCTCCCGAGTGCTGGGATAACATGTGTGCACCACCGTGCCCGGCTTTAGGATTAGGTTTTAATGAGTAACAACACAAAATGAAAAATTACATATGCTTTTTCTTCTATTCCCAACATCTACACAAGAAGCCCAGCTCGCCATGTTTTCCTGAAGTAGTCAGAACCTGCTGTGTTGGAAAACTGGGCATCCACATTGAACAACAACATCAAAGCCAAACAAGAATAAACAAGAAAAAGAAATCTATACACAGGCCTTACACTTTTCACAAAAATTAACAAGATGGAGGGTAGATCTAAAAGTAAAACTTATTAGACTTTACAGAAAATAACACAAGGGAAAACCTATGTAACCTTAAATTTGGAGATAGAATTTTTTAGATACAATACCAGAAGCAAGATCCATGAAAGAAAAAAGTGGTAAATTTGACTTCATTAAAATGAAAAATTCCTGCTCTACAAGAGATAATGGTAAGAAAATGAAAAGATAAGCCACACACTTGTAGAAATTATTTATGAAACTATTACCTGATAAAGGGCTGGGACCTAAAGTTACCAAAGAACTCTTAAAACTCAACCAAGGGGAAAAAATGAGAACCAAGACCTGTCATGTAAAGGTACAAGATCCCAATAATGAATGTAACTGTACCGTGTACCTAAAATGTACCAATAAACTCAATTAAAAAAAAAAACCACTGGAGAGATAATACTGAAAACCAAAAGCAAAACCAAAACTCAACCATAAAAAGACAACCATCAAAGAGGAGCTGTACCCCAAAGAGGCTTTCTTAGGTCTGCCTAAGAAATATACTGGCAGGGGAGGTTTTGTTGTTTGCAGTACTGAACTGGGGATTGAACCTAGGGCCTTCACACTGAGCTACATCCCCAACTCTTTTTCAAAAATTTCAGACAGGGTCTTGCTAAGTCACTGAGTTGTTCAGGCTGGGTTCAAAGTTCCAATCCTCCTGTCTCAGCCTCCCACAGAGCTGGGATGACAGGTGGCTACCACCACACCCAGCTAGGCAGGCACAAGGATTTTATACACCTACTGTAGTGCTGGGTAGTTATTCTCTGCTTGCTTTTCATGTAAAATATTTTCAAACAAAAATAAATGTTTTTAAAAGGGCTATCCAGAGGACTTCCAAGAAGGTGGCAGAGTACTAAGCAGCAAAGAGTGAGCCTCACTGAAATTTGGTGTCCTGACACTGGAATATTGCAGCCTGAGGAGGAAGAGGAGGGAAAAGGGTCCCTGAGGCCCAGGAAGGATCTGAGGCCAGAACTGAAGTCTACAGGGAGAGTAAGGAGAGAGACTTTAACAAAGAGGAGGGAGGTAGCAAGCAGAGCTCTCTCCCAGAGCCTGGATTCTCGCTGAGTAAAGGGCAGCCTGAACCTGCAGATGTAAAGTGACTGCTGGTGACCTCAGAGGCCTCCAAGAAGAAATACACCAGTGGAGTGGAGCAGTGGATACACCAGACTGCAGTGGCTGGTGAGTTATTCTGATTCAGACCTCACACAGGAGTGGGTGATTGGCTGGAGGTCATCTTGGACAGGGGCCACCTGAGCTCAGAACTCAGAATACACGTGGATGGACTCCATCTAGTGGCTCCCAGTGCCTTGGTGTGGGAGCTGAGTTAGTCAGCAAGAGCTCAGGGAGCGGGTGACACATCGACTGCTGTAGGCTCAAGGAATCCAGTTCCAGCCTCATAGCCAGAAACTGGCCTGAACTTCAGAGGAACTAAAGGGGCAGGTTGGCTGGGATTATCCACTACACCACTGTGAAGCTGGAGCTAGCTTCCTGGGATTAATCATTTTGGCTCTGGATTTTGTTTGCCTACAATGCCTAACAGTGACAGCAGAGGCGCACCTTGAATTGGATGTTTTTGTGTTTTTACTCTTTTTTTCTCATTTCTGGTTCTTGTTTTGTTTTGATTTTTTTCTTATTGTTTGAACATGGCTTCTAGTTCTGTTGTTGTTCTGTTCTGGTTATATTTTCCTTTTCTCTCTCCCACCTGTCTTCTTTACCAGTTTCCTAAAGTTTGTCCTCCAACCTTGTTTCTGATCTCTTCCACTTCTTCTATTTCTGTTTTTTTACCCTCAACTTCTTTTAAATCTTCTTCCCTAAGAATAAAATTGCTACATTAAGGGCTTTTTATTGAATACAATTTTTGGATTCATTTTAGATTTTGTTACACAACCACAAATCTAGTTCATACAGGTAAAGGCAGCCAATTAATAATTACCACAGTTTGTCATTTTTTAGGTTGTATCGGATGCTACTGTTATTGCTGACTGTACTACTTTAGCCAAGGTGATACAACTGCGCCAGTTAGTTGTTCTTCCTGGTATACCAACACTGAGATTGCCTAAGGGTCTTAAAAAAAACCTCAATCCCCCCAACCTCCATAGGCCAGTGCTAAAGAACTGGCAACTGGGTCAAGTAGGCAGAAACTTCTCATCCCCAATAAATTGAAGAGTAAGATCCTGCAACATACTCAAAACCCCAAATCCAGCTACACCTGGAAGATGCTTCTGAGAAGTAGTCATTTCCTAAGGTCTCTGGATACTGGCAATAAAGTTACTTGCCATAAGCAACTTACAAGCATCAACTCAGGAATCAAACTTAAAAAAAAAAAAAAAGAAAAGAAACAAGAAGCACCCCCACCCCAGACTTTCAGCTCTCCAGAGGCACATGCTGGGGACAATGAAGTGGAACAATCTGAAAGCCACCCACCTGGACTCTCTGAAGTGGTAACAGCAGAAGTAACAAACAGATGAACAAGGCTCTAGAAAAAAATCAAAGCAGAAATAATTCCCAAGATAACTACAGAGTTGGTGACCAGAATGAAAGACATGCTTAGTGACTCTAGACAGATACAGAAAAAAACAGAGGCGCTCAGGAACATGATGGGAAACAAATGCTCAACATAGGAAAGAAATAGAATCCATGAAACAGATTCAAACTGATATCTAGGAGATTTAAAAACTCCACTGAAAGTATATGCAGCGGAATAAGCCAATGTGAGGATAAAATATCAGATTTAGAAGACAGGATTGCAGTTAGTGATCATAAAAATAGAGATTTCTTAAACATAGCAAGGGACCACGAGAAATCAATCCAGTAGCTTCTAGGAAATGCAAAGAAGAATAACATAAGATTGATCAGAGTCACTAAAAAAGCAGGAGACAGCACAAATGACATAAAAAAACCTGTTCACAGAAGTAATGGCAGAAAACTTCCCAAACGGGGAAATAGAATTTGACATAGATAAGTGAAGCATACAGGACTCCAATTAGCCATGATAAAAAAAAGTCTTCCCCAAGGGATATAATAGTCAAGATTCCGGAAATTCAACATAAAGACAGAATATTAAAAAGGTATTCAAGAAATGAAACAAACCACCTATACAGGAAAGCCCAGCAGAATCACAGTAGATTTTTCAATACAACCTCTCAAGTCAAGGAAAGCTTGGAGTGAAGTATTTCACACCCTAAAAGAAAACAACCTCCAATCCAGACTGATGGAGAAATAAGATAATTCCATGACAAAGAACACCTGAAGAAATTCATGACCACCAAACCAGCACTCTAAAGTGTTCTGAAGGGTATTCTAGAAGGAGACAATATTGATAACAATTCCACGAACCCCAACAATGAATCCACCAGGCAAGGGAAGAAATTAAACAGAAAAGGGAAGAAGGAAGCCAACAGCAGGAAATTAATATGACAGACATAAGATAATATATCAGTTATAACCATGAATGTTAATGGTCTCGATTCACCACTCAAAAGAAACAGACTGACAGAATGGATCAAGAAGCAAGATGCAACAATATGCTACATACAAGAAACACAATTCAAAAATAAATTCAGGCCAGGCGTGGTGGTGCACGCCTGTAATCCCAGCACTCAGGAGGCTGAGACAGGAGGATCACCATGAGTTCGAGACCAGCCTGGGCTACATAGTGAGTTCCAGGTCAGTCTCAACTACATAGTGAGACCCTGTCTCAAAAAAACCAAAAAAAAAAAAAAAATTTCACAGACCTCAAAGTCAAGGGATGGAAAACAATATTCCATTTGACAGGAATGCAGAAAAAAAGCAGGGGTAGTGATTCTATTTACAAACAAAGTGGATTTTAAGCCAAGAATGATTAAGAGACACAAAGACGGTCACTACATCCTGGTAAAGGGAACAATCCAACAGGAGATAACAATCAAATATATATGTACCAAATAGCAGCACATCCAACTATATAATATGGATTATATTGATGGACATGAAAAATCATATAAGCACTGATACAGTTGTAATGGGGGACCTCAAAACCCACTGTCACATTCAAACATAAAGACACAAGTCAAAAATGGACATCTGAAATGAACAGACATTTCTCAGACAAAGAAGTAAAAGCAGCAAATAAACATATGAAAATGTTCAATATCACTGGTCATTTGAGAGATGCAGATGAAAACAACACTGAGATTCCATCTGACCCAAGAAAGAATGGCTGCTATCAAGAAATCAACCAATAATAAATGCCAGAAGGGTTGTGGGGAGATAGGAACCCTTCTCCATTGTTGGTGGTAGTGCAGACTGGTGCAACCACTGTGGAAGTCAATATAGAGATACCTCGAACAACTAGGATTAGAAGACCCATTTGACCCAGCTATTCCTCTACTGGGTATCTTCCCAAAAGAATTAAAAGAATAATATCACAGCAACATATGCTCACTCATGTTTATAGTGGCACAGTTTGTAATAGCTAAAATTTGGAAACGCCCAATTGCCTATCATCTGGAGAAGTGGAGACTGGTTAAAGAAGGGTGTGTGTGTGTGTGTGTGTGTGTGTGTGTGTGTGTGTGTAATAAAATGGAGTACTACTCAGCCATAAAGAATGTCTCTCTTAATAACAAATGAGGCTGGAGACACCGCCCTCATCGCCTTTCCTATAATGGCTGCTTCCCAAAAGGCCGTGTCACGTGTAACTTCTTAGCCACAGCGTCCGGAGATCCAAAAGGAGAATTTCAAGTCAGATAGAATTTTACATACATTATTTCTTTGGAACCTTCAGTCTTCTGCATCCCAACATCATGACCTCAGTTTCAACACAGTTGTTCTTGGTGGTCATTTCACTACTTCTGATTCTGCCTGTTGTTGAAGCAGGAGAAGCTGGAGATGCAATCGCTCTCTTGTTAGGTGTGGCTCTCAGCATTACCGGCATTTGTGCTTGCTTAGGGGTGTATGCACGAAAGAGAAATGGACAAATGTGACTTTTAAGGGCCTGCTGAGTCAAATTTCACCCTGAAAACCTTCCTACTCCTGAGATCCAACCTGAGCTGTGGTCTCTATAGTTACCAACAAACAGCAAATAGGGTTTTTCACATTCTTGGTTGTTTCCCACAGAAAGGGGAACAAATCAGTATTTGGTAAGTGGGAAAAAATGTTTTCTTTATAACAAATAATGCACTGAAAAATGCAGCCAATGGTTTGTTACTTAGAAAGTAGGTCAAAGATTTAACATGGCTTAAAATGGATAAGTAATATTTTATAATTTCAGTATTACCAGAGCACATGAAATAGGACTAAGGAAGCTCTTGCTCAGAATCTTCCAAATCACTAGTGTTTAGTTCCAGTCACTGCCTCCTGAAATGTTGAGTCTTTTTTTTCATGTTTTTAGATTTTTATTTTATTTTGCAAGTTATTATTGTACTTAGATATCAAATAGCCAAGATTGAAATTTTTATCTTTGGGTGGAGAACATTTAGAAAAAGAATATATTCAATGTATCTAATATTGGAATGAAGAAAATATTTAATTTTTTTACAATGCCTTTTATATTGACAAATGGAAAATTAATTTACTACAATTTAAAAACCCTTTACTATTGAGTGAAATCAATATTCACTGAGAAGTACATTACTATACTAAATATAAATCTATTATGTTAAAAAAATAAAAATAAAAAAATAAAGAATGAGAAACTATAGAGAGATTATAGCTAAGTGGATGCACACTGAGGCCTTACTCAAGTGAAATTAATAAGTCACATGTGTAAATATGGAATAGTTTCTCTGGTGTGAAAAACTAAAAGTGTAAATAAGGATCAAAAATGTATAATTGGTATTGTGTAATAGAAGAAAAGGTCTAACAGAGTAGAGGAAGTGGGAGGGGTAGGAGAAAGGTAAAAAGGGAAAAGAAAAAAATATGTGAAAAGGAAAAACTTGGAAACAGTATCGGGCTGGGGAATGGGGAAAAATAAGAACCAAGATAAGTCACGTAAAGGTACAAGATCCCAATGATGAATATAACTGCACTGTATACATAAAATGTACCAATAAACTTAATAAAAATAAAAAACCCCATTGTCACAAATAGATTAGACAAAAAAATCAACAATGAAATATTACAATTGAACCAAACTTTTGAACAAATGGACTTAGTAGATGTCTAAGAGTGTTCCACCCAACAACATCAGAATACACATTTTTCTCAGCTGCAATGGGACTTTCTCCAAAACAGACCATACACTAGCTCATAGAACATGCTTAAGTAAGTGCAAAGGAGCTGAAATTATCCCATGCATATTATCAGACCAGAATGCAATGAAACTGGAAGTCAATGGCAAAAGAAACAACAAGAACTTCATAAACATATGAAAATAAAACAACACTCTCCTGAACAATCCATGTGTCACAGATGAAATTAAAGAAAAGCGGGGCATGGTGGCGCATGCCTGTCATCCCAGCACTTGGGAGGCTGAGGCAGGAGGATTTCTGTGAGTTCAAGACCAGCCTGGGCTACATAGTGAGTTCCAGGTCAGTCTCAACTACATAGTGAGACCCCGTCTCAAAAAAAAAAAAAAAAAAAAAGAAAAAGAAATTAAAGAAGAAAGCATAATTTTTACAATTAAATGATAATTACAATACAACATATTGGAACTCACAGAACACAATGGAAGTAGTCCTACAAGGGAAATTTATAATGGTGAATTCCCACATCAGGAAAACACAGTGGGCTCAAATAAACAACTTAATGTTGAACCTCAAGCTTCTAGAAAAAGAAGAGCAACTCAAACCCAAAGCTTGTACAAGGGAGGAAATTATAAAAATTAGAGCAGAAATTAATGCAATGGAGACTAAAAAATACAAAGAATCAATGAATTGAGGAGTTGGTTTTTTGAAAGATTAAATAAAATGGACAAATCCTTAGCTAACCTTACCAAAACAGGAGAAAGAAAAGACTCAAATCCATGCAATTAGGAATGAAAAGGGTGAAATCATAACAGACCCTGCAGAAATCCAGAAGGTCATCACAATTTACTTTGAGAACCTGTATTCTAATAAGATGGAAAATACAGAATAAATGGCAGATTCCTAGATACATATGAATTAACAAAACTGAATCAAGAAGATATAGAAATTCTAAATAAACCAATATCAGTGAATGAAATTGAATATGTAATTAAAAACCTACCAACAAAGAAAAGCCCCTTGGCCCTGACAGATTCACTACCGAATTCCACAAGAAATTTAGAAGATCTAATGCTACTACTTTTCAAACTAATGAAGTTGAAAGGAAAGCAATACTCCCAAATTCATTCCTAAATACAAGCATTACCCTGATTCCCAAACCAGAGAAGGATCCAACCATAAAGGAGAATTACAGGCCAATCTCCCTGATGAACATAGTTGCAAAAATTCTCAATAAGATACTGGCAAACGGAATATAGCAAATCATCAAGAAAGTTATATCCCATGACCAAGTTGGAGTCATCCCAGGGATGTAGGTAGGGATGATTCAACATATAGAAATCAGAAATGTAATACACCATATTAACAGAGCCAAGGACAAAAACTTTACAATCTTCTCAGTAGATGCACAAAAAGTTTATGAAAAGGTCCAAAACTCTACAGAAATAAAAGGAATGAAGATAGGAAAGGAAGAATTTAAACTATCGTTATTTGCAGATGACATGACACTGTACGTACAACACCCCCCAAACTCCACCAAAAGACTTAGGATTCCTGTACACAAATAACAGACTCATGAGAAAGAAATTAAGAGAAACAATCCCTTTCATAACAGCATAAAAAAAAAAGGAATATCTAGGAATCAAGCGGATGAAGGAAGTAAAAGACCTCTACAATGAAAACTAGTACTCTGAAAAAGGAGATTTAAGAGGATATCAGAAAATGGAAAGAGATCCTGTTCTTGGATAGGAAGAACCAATATAGTGAAAACTACCACACAGATTCAATGCAATCTCAATCAAAATCCCAACAGCATACCTCACAGAGTTAGAAAAAATAATCCAAAAATTCATTTCAAACCAGAAGGCAATTCTCAGCAACGAAGGCAAGGCTGGGGGTATTACAATCCCTGACTACTGGAACAGATCAAGGGAACAAACTAGAAGATGCAGAAACAACTCCAGACAGACTCAGCCACCTTATCTTTGGTGAAGGGGCCAAAGAGAAAGATATCTCTTTATGAATGGTGCTGGAAAAATTGGCTTTGCACATGCAGAAGACTGAAACTAGACCCATGTCTTGTACCACATATTAACCTAAAATTGAAATATATCAAAGATCTAAATGCTAAAACAGAAACACTAAATTTGCTGGAAGAGAGAATAGGTTTTCATGAATGAAAACCAGACCTCATGGGAAATACTACAAAGAATCAACAACAGACCTCATCTTAAAGCTTAAAAAGATTTTGCACGGCAAAAGGATCCATCAAAACAGAGTGAAGAGACAACACACAGTGTGGGAAAGGAATGTTTTTTACCAGCTATTCGTCAGATAAGGACTATGTTCTAGAATATATAAAGAACTCAAAAAAAAAAATCAGACCCCTCAAATTTAAGACCCAATCCAAAAATGGGTATCTGAAATGACAAGACACTTCTTAGATGAAGAACTAGAAACAGCGAATAAATATAAGAAAAAGTGTTCAACATCACTGGTCATTCGAGAGATGCAAATGGAACGTTGCTGAGATTCCACCTCACTCCAGAAAGAACGGCTGCTATCAAGAAATCAACCAAAAGAAAGGGAAAAAGGAACCCTTCTGCACTATTGGCGGGAGTGGAGACTGGTGCAGTCACTGTGGAAATCAGTGTGGAGATTCCTCAAAAAAACTAAAACTAGAGGTTCCATTGGACCCAGATACATCTTTTCTTGGTATCTTCCCAAAACAATCAAAAGCATCAAGGGCTGCGGATATAGCTTGGTGGCACTGCACCTGCCTGGCAAATGCAAGGTTCAGAGTTCGATGCCCAGTACCAAAAAAAAGAAAAGAAAAGAAAAAAAAAAAAAAGAGAGAAAGCATTAAAAGCATCATACCAAGCAATATATGCATACCCAAGCAGCACAGTTTGTAATGCCTAAATCTTGGAAACAGCTCAAATGCCCATCAACTGATGAGTGGGCATAAAGATGTGATTTTTGTTTGTTTTTTCTTTTTGTTTTTTTCTTTGAGACAGGGTCTCACTATATAGTTGAGACTGACCTGAAACTCACTATGTAGTCCAGGCTGGTCTTGAAACCACAGCGATCCTCCTGCCTCAGCCTCCTGAGTTCTGAGATTACAGGCGGGCAGCACCCTGCCCAGCCAAGATGTGACTTTTTTTTAATACAGTGGAGTCCTACTCTGCCATAAAGGATGACCTTCAGACATTTCTAGCTAAATGGATGGAACTTGAGATCATATTTAAGTGAAATAAATTGGACACACATATTTAAATACCGAATTGTGTCTCTGGTGTGAGAAACTGAAAGTGAAAATAAGGACTGATATGTACAATGGATGTGTAGGAAGAAAGTGTTCAAATGGGAAGGGGAACAAGGGAGGAGGGAGGGAGGAAGGGACAAAGGAAAACGTGAAAATAGAAGGAAAAAATATTTTGTACATAGGGAGGGGAAGGGGCCTGAGGGGGAATAGGATAAATTTATTAAACAATTAAAACTTATCCATTGCTGTATGGAAAAATTATAATTAAAATAGTGCACGTAGCTTGAAACGCGGTATAGATAACTGTCAAATGATGCTGTTACAACAAATTCAAAGATCTACTATTGGCTTTTCTTTATGATTCTAGAATCGGGCAACATTTCATCCTATAAATCATAAATCAGAACGAACGGTCCCATGAGCGGGAGCTGAGGAGTCTGGGTTTACAGGCGCAACTGGCCAGAAACGAAGTTTATTTGCTGAGACAGTGTCTCGCTCTGTAGCCCAGGCTGGGCTTGAACTTGCAGAGATCCTCTTGCCTCAGCTTCCTGAGTGCTGGGATTACAGGTGTGCGCCATCCCGCCTGGGGTTTCTCCTGACCTTTCTGGGGGAAGGAACAACAGCCAAGGCAGTTTGGGGTTGGTGACGAGGAACCTCTGCCTGCCTAACTCCACTCCGTTTGGTGTGCAGAGCCTGGGGAAGGAGGTGAGGATGAACCAAGAACCTCCACACACCTGGTCCCACAGGACCGATACAGGTGCTGGCGTGTGGGACGCGGTGGGCGTGGAGGAGTGGAAAACGGAAATAAGGGATGTGTTGCTCCTCTTCAGAGCGAGCTACGGGGCCGAGGATTCGGGACCCGCTCCTCGTATATTTGGAAAACTCGGGGGAAGCAGTGCCCCAGGCGGAGAAAGAGGAACGGGGACCCCAGGGGCCCGAGTCGGGTCCTCGTATCCCTCCCGTCCCCCGAGGCCGAAGCGGGTCCAGTCAGGGCTACTTCCGGCCGGCTCCCACCAGGCTCCGAGGCCCCTTCTCGGGACGCCTGACCCCGCGCTCACCATTCCAGGGCCCCCGGGGGTCCCGTCGTCTACTCCAGCGGCTGAGGCAGAGCGACCCGGGGCCAGCGGAGACCGAGCGAACCGCGATCCGGAGGCGGGGCCGGCCCTCCGGCAAGGTTCAAACGCCTCTGCTCAGCGGGTCCAGTCAGGGCTACTTCCGGCCGGCTCCCACCAGGCTCCGAGGCCCCTTCTCGGGACGCCTGACCCCGCGCTCACCATTCCAGGGCCCCCGGGGGTCCCGTCGTCTACTCCAGCGGCTGAGGCAGAGCGACCCGGGGCCAGCGGAGACCGAGCGAACCGCGATCCGGAGGCGGGGCCGGCCCTCCGGCAAGGTTCAAACGCCTCTGCTCAGTGTGGCCCCACCCACCACTCCTAACACGCCCTCCCATTGGATGATTCGCGCGGCTCCACCCACTCCATCTTGATTGACGGCTACCCGAAGGTGAGGCAGTTGGGTCCCCTAGGCTTTTACCCGAGTTCCTCGACTTGGTTCTGCTTACGAGGTTTGCGGTTAATCCATTTTCTTACCCATCCTTCAGGCCAGACAGGACAAAGTGGAAGGGGACGTGGGTGTGTGCAGGTAATTCCAGACCCAGTTTCCAGATCGAGGCCCTTCTTAAACGACCCTGGGAGGAGCAAATGCAGAGCCACAGTGTCCCCAGGAGAAGCTAAACTGGACCAGAGGGCTCAGATGTTCCCCCGGTGGTCAGCGGCCTGGCCTAAGGCTGCAAGGCCACTCATCGAACTCTGACCCTTAACGCAGATGCTTAAAAGTGATCTCATCATAGCCCAGCTCGGTAACACACCTGTCATCTCAGCACTCTGGGAGGCTGAGGCAGGAGGACTGCAAGTTGGAGTGCAGCCTAGGCAATTTAACGTCTTAACAACAAAGGCTGGGGATGGAGCTTGGTGGTAGATCCCCCACCCCACCCCACCCCTAACTCAGGCAGAAGTGCTTCTCAAATTAACTTCAAGATGTGAGATAAAACTGTGAGGTTTGCATTTCACACTGGAAAGGAATTTACTTTAGATCAGCTTTTGACGTCCCCAGACCCCTATCTTCCGTCCATGGTAGGAAGGGTTTTACCACTGAATTAACACCCCAGGTCCCTTCAGTCATTTTATTTTATTTCATTTTATTGTTGGTACCACTGAGCTAAATCCCTGGCCCCCTTAAATCATTTTATTTATTTATTTATTTATTTATTTATTTATTTATTTATTGGTTTTTTGAAACAGAGTTTCATTTTTTAATTGAGACTGACCTGGAACTCACTATGTAGCCCAGGCTGATCTTGAACTTACAGCGATCCTCCTGCCTCAGCCTTCAGTGCTGAGATTACAGGCGTGTGTCCCTTAGTCATTTTAAATGTAAGCAGCTATGATATTCCTAAGGGAATTGTATCCCTATCTTCAGGGATAGAAGTCACAATTGTTTACTTTCCCAAACTTTATATGGGCTTCCTCAAACCTTTTCTCAAACAATGCCCACCCCTGTACTTCCTTATGGAATCTATTTTTTTAGAAAAAAAATTTTGAGCCCATATTTATTTATTTATTTATTTATTTTTGTGGAATCTGGGATCAAACTTGAGACCTTGTGCTTGCTAGGCAGGCGCTGGTCCCACTGAGCCAAACCTCCTGCCCGTGGGAATCCATTTTTTTAGCAGACTCCTGCTAAGCCGGTTTCAGAAGAAATCTCCAACTTTGGTATCTGATCCAGTGTGTTTCTTGGCTGTGAAACTCTCACTTTTTCTAGATGCGTTTCGAATTCAGCCTAGTTCTAAACCGCAGTCTTTCTTCCCCTATTGCAGTGCTTTCTTGCATAAAATCTGTCTCCATCATCTTACCTTCAGTATGGCTCTGGCTTTCTGTTAACATAAAAAAGCTTACATAGGGTCGAGGATTGAGCTCAGTGGCACTGCACCGGCCTTGAAAGTTCCTGAGTTTGATCCCTGCTACCGGAAAAACAAACACAAAACAAACGAACAAGCAAACCAAACTAGAAGCTCTTCCTATGTTGAACAAGTATCAAAATACCTAATGTATTACATGTTGGGACACGTATGCTGAGAAAAATACATACTCTCCAATGCTCTTAAAAAGCGTACCATTCAGTGCTCATCGTGTTAGTGAAAATGCAGTCATGACGATGGCCAGTTCTGGAGCATTTTTCTCACCGTTAAAGGAAACGCCTGTACTCATCTAGCTTCCCTTCAGTCATGAGTCTACCTCTGTGGGACTAGATTTCCCCATCCTAGACTTTCGTATGAATGGAAGTACGTAAGCGGTGGTCCTTTTTACTAGTATGCATTTGTGACACATCATAAACACCATCATCGTGGGGACTGGTGCCCATATACTCCTCATCTGGATCTGTTTCCCTTTCCCGCATCTCATCTTCCCCATCTTCAGACCCCTTTCCCATCCCCACAGAGGCCACCTCCCTGATGTTGAGACATCATCTACCTTTTATTGCGTGTACCGGTGTCTGGGTGAATAGAGGCGAGAGAAGCCAGGTGCCAGAGCCTGCCTGGCTGCCCACGTGTTAAACTCACCCTCCATCCCTGCGTCAGGGAGACCGGAGCGGGAAGCTTGGAGGAGTGGGTTGGCTCCCTGCAGGGGGCGCTTGGGGTACGAGGGACCTGAGGGCGGTGGCGAAGGCTGGCCAGCTGGGTCAGCTGTATTTAATTGCTGGCGTCCGCCTGTTGCTTTGCTCGGGGGACTGTGGGTCACTCTTCATGACTGCAGGGACATGGCCTGCCAGCTGCAGAGGCAGGTCAAGGAGACTCAGAGGCCCAAGGCAACTTAGCTTTCTTTTTTTTTTCAAAAAGAGTAGAATTATGTTTGCCAGGAGGAGGAATTGGGGAGTTATTGTTGAATGGACCGAAGGTTTGATTCATTCATTTATTTATTTAGAGCTAGGATCTTGCTATGTAGTTCAGGTTGGCCTTGAACTCACCGTGAAGCCTAGGCTGGCCTCAAGCTTGTGATTGTCCTGCCTCAGCCTCCTGAGTGGTGGGATTACAGGAGTGTACCATGACACATGGCCTCCAGCCGTAATTTTTAATTGTACGTATTTAGGGGTTACAGTGTGAAGGGAATTCTTTTTGAGGTAACAAAAATGTTCTAAAGTTGACTGTAGTAGTTGGCATGGTGGTCTGTGTCCGTAGTTCCAGCTACTTTGGAGGTTGAGACAGAAGGAACGGTTGAACAGTTTGAGGACACGGATTTGAGGACAGCCTGGGCAGGGCAACACAGTTTAAAAAAATAAGGCTGATCACACATATATATGTGAATATACTGAAAACTGTTGACGCGTACACTTCAGTGGGCTGCACCGTGAGGTGTGCACACATCTCAGGTAACACTGTTTAAACAAATGCACGCATACATTAGGAGTTTTCCTCCAGTTCCTTCTTTTTGGTACCGGGGTTTGATCTCAGGACTTTGAGGTGCTTGCGAGGCAGGCGGCGGCACCACTGAGCTAAATCCCTGGTCCTTCATCCAATGCTTAAATGCATTAAGACTTTCAAGGTCTATCCCCAAATTATATAACCTTTAGTTTTTTTCTAATGGTAGTGAAAATAGGCATTGCCTTAAGGATGTCACAGCCATTTCCATTTCAAAGTTCTCTCGGAAGATTGAAAAACTGATCCAAAGTAAGTATCCTTTCAGCGCGACATGTACAGCTCAGTTTTCATGAAAGTATTTCCTGGCTGTTTCTCTACCCAGGTTTAGTACTTGGGAGCTCACCCACCACAGGTCCAGTGCCAGCTGTAGAGACCATGGGTGGTGAAAAAGGAGAGGGCGATAGGCTCAGCTTTAACAGTTGGTGGATCCAATTAGCTATGCTCAGGTCACTTTTTAGTATTTGTAAAGAACTTTCTTTTTTTGCTACCGGGGATCGAACTCCGGTCCCTGCGCTTGCAAGGCAGGCGGGGATACCACTAAGCTAAATCCCAGCCCTAGTACTTGTAAAGAAGAGTCGCAGCCTTATGCAAGCCCAGAAGGACACCTGACCTTCTCTATGGTCTGGATGTCTCTTGCTCTGGACAAAAGGCCTCGCTTTATGCAGAAACTGAATCAGGAATTGCCTGCGCACACTTGTGCACCGGCATCCAGAAGAAGCTGCAGGCCGACACGCTAACACCCCGCTCTTGGCGTACTACTGCAAGTTCTGTCGCAATGCGAACACCCACCTCAGCTGCACCTTCCCGGCGTCGGCTATTTCAGGGTGCGCTCAGGAAGCATCTTTCGGCTCCGCTGTCACTCAGGCGAAGAGGGGGGGCGTGTCTGGACGAACCATCCAATCAGAGACACAGTCTGAAAGGTGGGGGCGGGACGATGCGGCGCCGCTGGCCTGCGTAGAGGACGCTACGCTCCGGCCGCTCTTCCCCTCGCTTCTCTCTGCCCCTGGAGGACCTTAGGGGGCCCCGGGACTGCGGGGGGCAGCGAGAGGCACCTGGAGGAAGCCGGGAGATGGTGAGTGCTGGGGAGGCGAGGGGCGCAGGGTCTGGTTGGAGCTGGCCGGAGGTGCCTCTGATGCCCCCCACCCCAGCTCCAGAGTCCAGGGTGCCGCTCGGTCCCCAGTCCCCTGTGGCGTGGGCGGGGCCGTCTGTGGGGACCGCGGGGGTCACGGGGACCCCGACTCGGAGGTGGCCGGAGCCGCGGTCTTTGGGGTCCCCACGCCTTCCTTTCTCTGTAGGGGTCGCCCCTTTTCCTCCGGAGTTTACGGATGTATGGAGGCGGGTCTCAGATTCAGGGCCCCAGGTCCCAGCTCGCCTCTCTCGGGGCTGGCAGTGGTCCCTAGACTCCTCGATCCCTTCCCACATCCCCAAATGCGGCTTCCTGCTCTGTTGGACGAGCATCAGTTATCAGCTGCTTCTCCTGGACGGTGCATTCCAGCCAGATGCAGTGTTTTCATTATCATTCTGCACAGATGGATTTAATAGAATGATCAGATTACGTGTGGATGATTTTATGAGAGGAAAGCAAGCTCCCAGGGAGAAAGCACAAGCACCCAGTGGTTCGTGACATAAAATCCCTGTGCCTCCCCATCCATTGCCTTTTCTGGGCCACTGCATCCTGGGAGATTCCTCTGGATCCAAGTCGTGCTTTGCAAAGTTTCCTGGGTGATCCGCCCTTCTGGCACAGTAGCAGGTCAGCGCTACCCCTCCCCGGTTTCCTGCCTTGGTGTTTAACATGGTCCTAGGAGGCAAAACCTAAATCGCGTCCACTTTTCCCTCCAGGAGGGGACATTTCATGAATGACATCGTCCTCAAAGGACCTTCAGCCAGGACCTACGTGTGGGGGGGTGAAGCTTACAGAAATGCCTGTGTGACCCTCACGCTTTGGTTAAAGAATACAATTCATCCTGCTGCCTCTCTCAAGTACCCACAACAAAATCTTCTACATTCTTTTTTGATTGGTTGGTTTTGGTTTTTTGGTATCGGCAGTCGAACTTGGGACCTTTCAAACTTGGGACCCTGGGCTTGCCAGGCAGGCGGTGGCACCACTAAGCTAAATCCCCAGTCCGCTTCTAGATTATTATTTTTTTCTTGACAGAGAATCTTCGGAGAGCAGGAGTTTTTCATTTTAGTTAAACTTTTCTTTTTCTTTATGGATTTTAACTTGTATCCAAACGCTTGCAGTAGGTGAATCCAAGATTACATGGATGATTTTTCCTATTATCTTTTTAGGTGTTCTATAGTTTTGCATTTTATATTTCAATAGATCTATGATCCTTTGTAAAATTTTTGTAGAAGGTGTAAGTAAAATCTGTCTAGACTCGTGTTTATTGCTATTTCTTTCTTTCTGTCCAGTTTTTCCAGAACTGATTGTTGAAATGACTGTCTTTTCCCATTGAAGCGCCTTTGGTCTTTTGTCAGAGATCGATTTAAGTTATAGGCGTCTTTAAAAAAAAAGCAGTAAAAAAAGAAAAGCAGTTGAGTGCTAGAAGACAGAGGTATGCTTTGTACCCTTCAGCCTGAGTGTGTTTTGTTTCCGCCTAGTTCCAGGAGTTTGTGTTCTTTGAGATTTTCTGCATAGCCTATTACAGACAACAAGGACGTTTTCATTTTTTCCTTTCCAATCCGTTTAGCTTTTTTGTTCCTTTTCTTCTTGCATTGATTATACTGTGGCTATCCTGTTGAAAAGGAGTGGTAGGTGGGGGCATCTTTCTTTAATTCCCCATTTTACCAGCAAAGCATACGGTTTCTCACTATCGGTTATTTTAGCTCTAGGGTTCTCATACGTGTTGCTTTTCAAGAAGAATTCTCTATTCCCACTTTCCTGTCGCAGACGCCTGATGGATTTTGTCAATAGCTTTTCCATTTGCATTTTTGACATCTTTGTCAATTAGCTTTGCTTTGTACTTATCAAATAGAATGATATTTGCAAAGAAGCAGCTTTTGATTGTAATTTCTCTTTTAAAATGTTATTTTCTTTTTTTTGTGCTTCCTTTGGGTTTAATTTTTTTTCTCTGGTACTGGGAATTGAACTTAGGACCTTGAGCTTGCCAGGCAGGTGTGACACCCCTGAGCTAAATCCCAGGCCCCCTGCTTTTTTTTTTTTCTTCCTAGTGTTGATGCTTAGATTATTGATCATGGATCTTCCTTTCTAGTGTATGTGTCCCATGATGAATTCCCCTCTGGGCATTTCCTTTCCTGCGTCCCACACATTTTAATGAGGTATATTTTAATATTGTTTAGTTTGAAATAACTTATGTTTTTCTGTTTTAAAAATTACTTTTATTGGTACAACTCAGGACCTTGTGCTTGTGAGGCAGGCAGCAGCACCACGGAGCTAAATCCCCAGCATATTGGTACGCTTTTTATACAAATGATGATCACATTCATCATAGAGAATTTGTACCTGTACACGATATATCTTGATTCTTCTTTTTTTCCTATTCCTTTCCCCTCTTCAACTCCCTCTTCAGCAGAAGCTTTGTTTCCATTTTTTCCTTTTATTTTTTTATTTTCCCTTCCTCCCTCCTTCCCTCCCTCCCCCTGAAATAACCTTTTATTACTTTACAGATTTCTCTCTTGAGCTGTGTGTCATTTAATCTCCAAGCGTTTGGGAATTTTGTAGCTGTCTTCCTGCTGTTGAGTGCTAGGTGGCTACCATTGTGGTAAAAGCATATTTTGCATGATTTTTGTTCTTTGTATTTTTTTGTTTTGTTTTGTTTTTCGTACCAGGGATGGAACTCGGGTCCTTGAGCTTATGAGGCAGGCTGTGGAATCACTGAGCGGAATCCCTGGCCCTGTTTTTGTATTATTTTTATTTTTTTTATTTTTTTGTTTTTTTGAGACGGGGTCTCACTATGTAGTTGAGACTCACCTGGAACTCACTAAGTAGCCAAGGCTGGTCTCAAACTCACAGCGATCCTCCTGCCTCAGCCTCCCGAGTGCTGGGATTACAGGCGTGCGCCACCACTCCCGGCTTTCTTTTGTATTTTTTAAAAAACTGTTTTTGTCCTACAGTGCAATGTATCATGATGAGTGTTTCATGTGAACTTGAGAAAGACTGCTACAGTTAGAAGTATTCTCTGGGTTTCCATGACACCCATTTCTTTGATGGTGCTGTTCAATTCAACTATGTTTTTACTGGTTTTCTGCCTGCTGGATCTTTTTATTTTTATTGTTTGTGGTGCTGAGGGTTGAACATGGGACTTCGTATATCCTAGGCAAGCAATCTACAGCTCATCTGTGTCTTTAGATCCCTACTCCTCCTCCTTTTCTTCCTCCTTTTTATTTCAATTTTTATTTTGAGATGGGATCTTGGTGTGTTGCCCAGCCTGGCCTCAAACTTGCAATCCTCCTGCCTCAGCCTCTTGAGTAGTTGAGATTACAGCTGTGCTCACTACTCCAGGCTTCTTCCTCATTTAAAAGGATAGTTTTGTTTGATACAGAATTCTAAGTGGGTGTTTTTTCTCCTTCACTACCTTTACTATTTTACTGTACTCTTCTCATTTGCATGGTCTCTGAAAATAAGTACAATTTAAACACATTCTTGTTCTTTATACTAAATCCTCCCCTACCCCCGTACTGGGAATTGAACTCAGGACCTTGCATTTGCCAGGCAGGCGCAGCGCCGCTGAGCTACATCCGCAGCCCACTAAGGTATTTTTTTTTTCAACTGCTGGCTTCTTCCACTATTTTTTTAATCTTTGATTTTTTCCCCCTACATTTTGAGCATAATATACCTATGATATGTGCTTTTTTTTTTTTAAAGTCAAGGTCTCCTATGTCATTCAGGCAGGCCTTGAACGCACTGTGTAACCCAGCCTGGCATTGAACTCACGGTGGTCCTCCTACCTCAGCCTCCCAAGTGCCAGGATACAGGCCTGCACCATCACAACTGGCTATGTGTGTTTTTTGATCTTTGTCCCACTTAGTAGTCTCTTGTGGATCTGTTTCTGGATCTGTTTGGTGTTATTAATTGTAGGAAAATTTCAGGCATTGTTTCAGTTATTCTGTTCCTTTTTAAAGGTGTATTTCTATTACCTATGAGTTACACTTTGTGTAATATTTATTTATTTATTTGTTTCTTTGGAGACAGGGTCTCACTATGTAGTGGAGGCTGACCCGGAACTCACTGGGTAGCCCAGGCTGGTCTCGAACTCACAGCGATCCTCCTGCCTCAGCCTCCCGAGTGCTGGGATGACAGGCGTGCGCCATATTTTTTGTTTTTCTTTTTGTTTTAAAGACAGGATCTGACTAGGTAGTCCAGGCTGGCCACAAACAGTGATCCTCCTGTTTCTCCTGAGTGCTGGGATTGCAGGCACGTACCACTGTGCCCACCTGGAAGGCATTCTTTATTTCAGTTAAAGTTGTTTTTCCCCTAGCACTCCCTGTGATCCTTTCCCAGTGACTCCATGTTCTGCTTATACTACAAAGTTCCACTGTCTCCATTAGAGCCCTTAGCACAGTGGTGGTGACCCTACGGCACGTATGCCTCAGGAGGGGCTTTGTATCACTTTGTCCTCATTTTCTTTCCTTTTTCTTTGGTACCGGGGATCGAATTTAGGACCTTGTGCTTGCGAGGCGGGTGTGGTGCCACTGAGCTACATCCGTGGCCCTTGTCCTTCTCCTCCCTCTTCAGGGGAGATTGAAACCAAGGGATCAAACCCAGGGCCTTGCATTTGAGGCGTAGCCAAGCATGGTTGCACCTACCTATAATCCCAGCTACTCAGAGGCTGAGGCAGGAGGATTGCAAATTTGAGGCCAGCCCAGGCAACTTAGCAAGACCCTGTGCCAAAATAAAATAAACCAGGATGGTGACACACGCCTGTAATTCTAGTGCTCGGGAGGCTGAAGTGAGAAGATCACTGTGAGTTCAAGGCCTGCCTGTTCTGCATAGCAAGACATCGTCTCAAAAAAAACAAAAGCTTGTTGACCTTACAGTTCTGGAGGTCTGTGAGCATCTGCCCATTTCTGGTAAGAGCTGCTCCTGCTCCATTCGTGCGGAAAGCAGAAGGA